ACTGGTGGTCGTCGGGAACGATGCTTTACGGGGTGCATCGTTACAAAGAAAGTAAGGCAAGGGATGAATACCCAGGATGGGAGAATAGCTAAGATTAGAAAACTTCGAAGTTAGGATAATCCTGGAGAGATGCGATGCAAGGACAAGTTCCGTTACAACAGCCAACACTCTTCGTGCTGTAAAAGTAGCTCTAAACAGATTCAACTGGGTGAGGCCATACAAACCAAAAGCTAAAATGAACCTTAAAGAAATCAGAGTAGTCGTGGAAAGATGCGACCCTCAAAGAGAAACATTGAAGACAGTTAGCAATTTCCGCACTGCCAAGATAGCCCTAGAAAGATGTGATAATCTGGTGCAGCAATATGCGCACCGAAAAGGGCAAATGGCGAATACAAACAAAACGTGCCATCGTGAAGTCAGCATAGTCTTACAAAGATGTGATATTTGGAGACAAGATGTCCAAACGACATCATCATCTAACGCTAAGTCCGCAGAAATTATGTCCGCAAGAATTAGGATACTGCAGCTGAATGTGGGGCGGTCAGCTGTAGTAACAGGTGAGGTGCGTCAGCTCGTTGTCAAAAAGCGACTCGACATCCTGTTATTACAGGAACCATATGTCAGGAAGCAAGGTAAGAGCCACACCTTTTATGAATTAGGAACGGGGACAAAAATTGTTGCAGTGCGTTCAGAACGCCCATGGGCGTTAGTAGCGGTCAGCAATCCCCGATTGCAGATAATATTTGTCTCGCAATTTAGCACGTACCCATTGCGTATGTGCAGGTTCCCAGCCTCTCTCTGTACGTCGTGTCGTGCTACTTCCAGTACAGCGATGAGATTGAGGGGCACCTCAGGCACCTCGAGAAGGTGTTCCACTCCATGAGGGGAGAGAGACTACTAGTGGCGGTAGACGCCAATGAACGATCATCACTCCCAAGAGACTAATAAAAGAGGAATGAAGTTCCAAAACCTCATTCGTGCGTTTGGCTTAGTAGTAATAAATAATGTCCATCAAGGGCCCACCTTCGAAACGAGGAGAGGATCATCTTTCATAGATGTGACAAAGTCCCAGGCATAGATTTGATAGAAGTTAAAGTATTAAAAATATCAGTAAGGGAAATCCCCGAACATTTTCTAAAAGTGTTTAATGGGTGCCTTCAGTGGGGCGTTTTTCCTATGATTTGGAAGGAGGGCTCATTGAGAGCTCTTCTGAAGGGCGAGGATAAGGACGTGAAGGACCCAAAGTCCTATAGGCCAATCTGCCTCCTTCCTGTAATAGGGAAACTCTTCAAGAAATTTCTCAAAATACGCCTAACAGACCACAGCATTGGCGCCGGGAAAGGTCTCCGATCAGCAGTTCGGATTTATGCTAGGCTTGTCGACGAAAGAGGCGGTCGTGGAGCTGCGACGCGCGGTCTCTGCCTCCGAGGGAAGGTACACCGTGGCGTTGCTCTTCGACATTTCGGACGCTTTTGACAACGTCTGATAGCCCTTAGTCTTGGAAGGTCTAAAGTCGAGAGAATGTCCCAAAAATGTTTTCGAAGTTCTCCAAAGCTATTTCGATAATAGGCAAGTAAGCATTCCAATAGGTGAGACAAAAGTAACAAAGCGAGCAACGAGGGGATGCCTGCAGGGTTCGGTGTTAGGACCAACTTGTTGGAATCTAATGTTCGACGAACTCCTAAGGATGCTAGAGGTCCAAGCTGGAGAACGTTTCGTAGCATACGCAGATGATCTTGTTATACTGATAAGAATAAGTCTATCTCCCTACGGAAACTCTCGTAGGGAGATAGAGGCCGAAAGATAGTTTCTGGTAGATCGGATAGATGAATGATGTAAATCGATCAAACTTCAAATCTCCGAGCGAAAAATGACTGAAGCAATTTTGCTTAGAAGCAAGGAGATAAGAAGGGTCCAAGGTGGCAGACAGGAAGGAGTGCGCTTAGATAGGAAGCCACGAAATAAGAAAAGAAGAATAGACTTCAAAAATAGACCACCCACTGTTAGGCTAGGTGAGTCGAAAATAAAATTCAAAGACTCGGTTAGATACCTTGGTATTCGCTTCGATAGAGGTATGCGAGTCGAGTCACACTGTAAGTACCTAAGGAATAAAGAGACACTCTTCGACAGGCTTGGCAAATTGGCAAGAACCCAATGGGATTTAAAGTGCAGGACACTTTCTACAATTTACCGGGGAGTGTTTACGCTCGTAATCACGTATGCGGCTGCAGGATGGACCGACCTGTGTACTAAGAAAGATAAGAAAGTTCTTAGGGCTGCGCAGCGCAAAGTGCTCATATTACATTAATAAGCGCACAGCATCGTGGGAGTCATTTTGTGTAATGGCAGGACAAACTCCCATCGATTTACTTCTTGAAGAACGTAGAGCTTTGTATGAAACAAGAAAGGGCAGAAACACACTAGTCTGTGGAATCTTGATCAGTAAGGACATGGATGACGCGAAAAAAAATCATAAGGCAAAAGATTACAGGCGGAATGGGTTCAGCTTAATTATTGGTCTTCGCAGATTCTAACTGGGCATGGTAATTTCCATGCAAAATTGGCATCACTTGGGCTCGTTAGTAACAGCTCATGCAAATGCGGGGCTAAAGAGGACACAGTCTGGCACCTCATCTTAGAGTGTCCGGAATTCGATGCGCAAAGAGTAGCATTAAAAGACATAGTTTCTTCTAACGAGTGGAAATTGCCTGAGGCAGTGCAAATCTTAGCATCAAACGCCGAAGCATTCCAAACACTCGTCGACTTCTCTAAAGAAACTCTATGGTTGAAACAACCTCAAGCAGAATACTAGATTCTGGGATTGTTCACCAGGGCAGACTGGCAACTTTGGAAACGATGTTTATGAATTCAGTAAAGGGAGGCCTGTTTCTCTTCTCAGGAATATCTCTAACTGAATGGGCTGTATCTCATCATGGACGAAATACCGTCGAACAGTTTAGGGAACATTACTCATTTTCAGGGTCAGGGCGTGCGTTTAGGCGAAACTGGGCGTTTAGGCGGCATGAGTGTGCCGCCCCGAGGTTCCCCGCCTGCACGAGGCGCCTCGAAAACTTAGGGCTCGAGACGTGTCGTGGTAAAACTGCTTATTCCTGCAGAACTGACCCTGCAGGCGCTGCTGCGTTTTTCCATCGCCATTCTCGGGGTGGTTTTGATGGATGGTAGAGATTGGTCTGTAGCATATGCCTTTGTGGGTGAAGTGGCACGTTCGCTCCGTCTTCGTGACGAAGCCGACTAATATCAACTGTCCCTATCTACTATCTAGCGAAACCACTGTCAAGAGAACGGGCTTGGAAAAATTAGCGAGGAAAGAAAATCCTATTCAGCTTGACTCTAGTCTGGCACTGTAAGGAGGCATGAGAGGTGTAGCATAAGTGGAAGATGGCAACATTGCCGGTGAAATACCACTACTTTCATCGTTTCCTTACATACTCGGTTGGATCGGAGCGCGTGCCCCGAGGGCTTCGTGCCCCCGCGGTCACGGTGTTCTAGAGCCAAATGTGTCAGAGTGGCGTGAGGTCTTGGCTGATCGCCGGTGATACTCCCGCGTGATCCGATTCGAGGACACTGCCAGGCGGGGAGTTTGACTGGGGCGGTACATCAGTCAAAGAATAACGCAGGTGTCCTAAGGCCAGCTCAGCGAGGACAGAAACCTCGCGTAGAGCAAAAGGGCAAAAGCTGGCTTGATCTCGATGTTCAGTACGCATAGAGACTGCGAAAGCACGGCCTATCGATCCTTTTGGCTTGAAGAGTTTTCAGCAAGAGGTGTCAGAAAAGTTACCACAGGAATAACGTGGCGACCAAGCGTTCATAGCGATGTCGCTTTTTGATCCTTCGATGTCGGTTCTTCCTATCATTGCGAAGCAGAATTCGCCAAGCGTCGGATTGTTCACCCGCCAATAGGGAACGTGAGCTGGGTTTAGACCGTCGTGAAACAGGTTAGTTTTACCCTACTGATGACTAGTCATTGCGATAGTAATCCTGCTCAGTACGAGAAGAACCGCAGATTCAGACATTTGATTCATGCACTCGGTTGAGCGGCCGGTGGTGCGAAGTTACCATCCGTGGGATTATGCCTGAACGCCTCTAAGGCCGTAATCTCTCTAGTCAAAAGTGGCGATGATATCTCTAGGAGTCTCGTGAGTCGAAAGGCTCAAAACAATATGATACTACTAGGCGGCCGGTCCACGCAGTCCGATCGTCGCACGAGCCCGGTTTTCCGTACGGTGCCATCGCCCGTCGTCGGGATCTCACCGCTACGACGGCACGGCGTCTAACGGTCGAACATGAGTTTCGCGAGTTCGATGTCGAGACTCGGAATCGTCTGTAGACGACTTAGGTACCTGGCGGGGTGTTGTACTCGGTAGAGCAGTTACCACGCTGCGATCTGTTGAGACTCAGCCCCTGGCTTGGGGATTCGTCTTGTCGGATGGACGAGACCCCGCGTTTCGCGGCGGAAGCCGGTGCGGACGAAATAACGCGGAGGTAACGACGGCGAAAGCAATACTCCGCGATCGGACTTGGACGAAATAACTCGTCCGAAGGTATCGACGGCGAAAGCAACACGCCGCGACCAATATAATATTATATATTCCTTGCCTTCTTTTTTCCTGGAGAGAAAAGGAAGAAAAATGAATCGGCGCAAAAGTTTAGCCAAAAAGAACCGGCCTTATATTTCACGTGACAGTGTCACGGTGGCTGTGTCAGCGGACTCAACAGTTGAGTGAGCGCTCGCTGTTATTGATGTATTCTTCCAGATCTGAAATGCTGATTGGATAATCTAAAAGAATACATCAATAACAGCGAGCGCTCACTCAACTGTTGAGTCCGCTGAACACAGCTAGTGACTTAATAACTTCCGATCCCTTGTCGCTCCCATATCTCAAAAGTAGTATAAAAAAAGAGTACATTGAAAATCCGCTTGGACGTCCGAAAAAAGAGTACGGATGGTCACCCTATGTATAAGTTTATATAATGCTGTATAACTCATATATAATTATATTTAAATTCCTCATTATTTGAATTTGAATATACGTAATGATTTATGCATATCTTCATATATATTGTGACGTTGCAGTCTTGCTGCAGCTTCGTAGCGATCCTCCACCGTCACAAAGCGCGGCTTCGCGCCTGACCCGAGCCGGGACACGCGAGCGAGCGAAATCTCCAGGGGGCCATGTATTAGCGTTAGGTCATTTTTCTAATCCCCAGCGGTTTCCTTTTATGTAAAAATTACGGGAGCCTCGCCGAGCGCGCGCGCGCGAAGAAACAGCGGGGGAG